GGAATTCGCCGTCGTCTTCTGGTGGAACCGACCTTCGAATCTCTTCACCCAACACTTTCACTCGAAATGGCAGTAATTCTAGACTGGCCTTGCCTGCTAGGCTTTTAAAACCTGATTGAAGCTCAACTGTAACCAAGATGACACTTGAACAGAGATTTCGAGTGCTAATTTGGTAGGCGTAGTCTCTAAAATGACGCCTTTGCCAACTTTTACCGCACCAGCACGAAAGTGAACCTTAAATTGGGTTACGTAAACGGTCCCTCGAGAGGTCCCAATTGCATTAATTATCTATGGAGGATCAAATGCTGTTTTGGAAAGCATCTCCCGAGTTATTCTTTGTTGAGCCAGATTAGTACGGATCACCTTAATATGGAATAAATTATAGACGATCAACGCAATGTGCACAAATGCCTTAACTGGCTTGCCAACGTGAGCTGTTGGGTCAATCTTCTGAGTAGGCTCGGAGCCATCTGCACTTGTATTCGGATTGTGGGATTGATTGGGGGCCCCCTAGGTCAAGCTAACAGCATGAGGCTGGTATGATTCATGCTTTGAGTGACTGGAAGGATTTTAGCCCAGCAATAGGACCAGAGGTGCATACGAGGCGTTCGACCAACCTCCTTACGTCAAAATGGAATGTACTTCTACAGCTTTTTTTGCTGCTCTCTACCTTTGCTTCAGTGATTCTGCTTCAATTTGTGAACATGACGCCACCAATGACTTGCAGGCAAGACCAGCATTCTGATTGGCTGACTGATTGAATGTTTGGACCAATCAGAGCATGGCATTGGTCTGACTAGTGCTATAAAAGCCGGCCACATGAGGCCTCACCGGTCTTGTTGCCTTCGTCCTCTCTCCACTTCTCCCTCCTCACTTGGCGCTCGCATTTAGCGCTCTATCCCTTGGCTCCCTCTTTCGTGGATTCGTCCCCCCCTCTGTGCATTCGCCTCATTTGGTGCTGTTCAAAGCGGTTTTAACTGGACTCATGAGATAGCGATGTGGATGCATGATTGCCATGAGTGTTCTTCTGCCAGGGAGGGAGGTCTGCACTCTTGGATGCGACATCTTACGGACGCTCACGTGATTCCAACCGAATGGCCGAGTCAACGCGCTGCCAAGTTGACCGGGAGTTCCTCTGCCAAACCCTACACGACGATTACAGAGTCGAAGAAGAAGCGTCGCAAGGATTGCATACCCCGTCCTCTCAATAGCTTCATGGTAGGCAGTCGTTTTTTTCCATACTACTTCCACTTGTATTTTCGCATAAGTAGTACCGTATCTGCTGCCATCATTTCGTAACTCGCAATTTTCCTATCGCCCATTTATCTTTACAAGGTGAACTTAACTATCAAGCTCAAGTGTTTCGTAGGTTTTCCCATTTTTTGCGCCAACTTAAAATGCATGTGGCCGTACTTCGAGGGTTGCCACCACTCCATGTTTATTCTCGTCTGCCCCCACGCAATATCGTCCACCGGCGTGCCATCCCATGGCTTTGCCGATTACTTGTACTTTTTATCCTGTCGTGCCGTTTTTTTCCGATGAACCCGTTTGCTAAGTTTCGAGGCTGATGTACCGATTAATATTTCTGTTTCCCACAGTGAAATGAGTGGTAGGTTTCAGTATGCCAGTGAATTTTACTCGTCCATTCCTGCAAAAGGGCTTCCACATTCTCAATCCAATTTGCTATTAAATAAACGACTCTCGACCGACCACCTAGACTCTCTGTCCCCAATCAAGATTTAGTGCTAGCTTGGAAGCCGACTAATTGTGAGGCCTGGCCGGCCTCGAAAGACACGTCTGCCCTGTGACCCGCTGGTCTCGGGAGGCATTGTAAATTTGCATGTTGATGAGGCCCGGGTGGGGCTAAAAGTGAAGAGCTGGCCGGTATGGGTCGAGCAAACCACATTGGCACCGTGAGGCCTGCTAGGCTAGTCGTGGGCAGTCCAACCATCACTCACGCAATCTCTGGAGCTGGCATTGCTGCAGAGATGCTCATTTCGCAGGTCGATCTCACCGGAAGCCGACGACCTATTCCGGCTGCTCCTCGGCCGTCTGGCGTCATCACGACGCTCAGTCTGACTCAGTCCACCAGACAATCCTTCCTGGTCTTGGGTGAAAGCCTGTTGAGCTTTCGTCATTCATGCCTTTGCACAGAGGCCTCGAGTTAACACGAAGGCCAGAGTGGATCAGCCTTACTGAAGTCAAATGTTTGCGCTAATTAGTTCCAGCCTTGACGATGTATGCCTACGCATGGCGGGCAAAAGCTCAGCCCATTTTCACCCGAGCCGAGGGGCGATATCTCATGCACTGAGGGTCAGTGCAGCATTATCATGCTTCATGTCGCCTACGTCCACTGCGTTCTTCTTAAATATTAACTTTAGTTTCGAAGATGTGAAGACCAAGATGTTGGGGCCTCTGGTATAGTCGCAGTCTCATTTCGATTTATAGAAGTGGGTCACCTCGTTGTCGCAACTTGGTCTTGTTGTCAGGGCGACTATGTAGAACGCACCGAGTCCGAAGTCGTCTGTCATAGTAGTTGTCATGATTCCCAGTATCAGACAGTCGACTTGGTACATTCCCAAACGTTTCGCCGGCATCGTAGTCGGCATCATCAGAACGTTGTACTAAGTCTCCAAAACTCACTGATGATGCTGTGACTACGATGCCGGCGAAACGTTTGAGAATGTACCAAGTCCACTGTCAGATACTGGGAATCATGACAACTACTATGGCAGACGACTTCAGACTAGGTTTCGTTTCGAAGCCTACCCATCACCTTTGCTCTCAATCCTCTGTCGCCAAGTCGTTGACCCAAAATACCATCTTTCCGACGACCCAGTTTGTGTGTGTGTGTGTGTGTGTGTATATATATTAGTGGTTGAATCTCGCTTTTGCAACTTGGTCGTGTTGTCTGGACCATCTCGATGAACGCAGCTTGTTCTGACTCTTCTGTCAGAATAGTACCGGTTATTTCCAGCTTCGGACTGTGAACTTTCTACATTCCCAGACGTAAATAAGCCGTGCCATTTTTATCACTGTTTTGCCAGCTGACTCGGGAGGAGACGCGTTCATCGAGGCCGCTCGGGCAGCACTAGCAAGCTACGGGAACAAGGTCACACCACTTATAGATTTCGACAGTGGAGACTGATGAAAATAGAGACTGCACTATCTTGATCGTCATACCTTTGATTAAGGCGTATCTACGTGTGTTTTGTGTGTTGAGCATTATCGGCTCTTGCATTTGCAAGTGTCACTCAGGCCATGACTCCTGTGCCTTGGGTTCATGTCGAAGGCTAGCGACGTATTGATAGTCTCGCTCTCTTCATTCTCCAACCTTGTTTTAACACTCATTTTACTTCTGGCCTGGGAAGAGGTAAACTCCAATCCCACCTTTTCACTTGGGTAGGTGGCACAAAATGCGGTCAGCCAATCGATCAGACAACAAGCGCTTCTTATTTTTGAGTTGACTTGGCTCCTTTGTTGTTATGGCGGCGGTCTATAGAAATCTCTATACTTCGATTAGCTGAGATCCAGCATTTCTATGACTCCGCGCGGTGAATCAATGATTCGCCTTTCTGCAAGTCACCGGATGTGTGCCCTCATAACGCAGCCCATCTACACAGTTCGCCACCAGACTAAAGTCCAGAATTGGGTTGAGGTTTATTCCCAATTTGACCGGCTCTTGACCATATCGACAGCGAACGCACCAGCACTGCAACACCCTTTGTTGCTCCACTTTGCCATGTGGTGTTGCCATGTCATAGCTGATTCCTGTCTGCTTTACCACTCGCCTACAAACGCACAACCACACATGAGTGTGTGCGTTCACATACTCTCTAAACCAATGTTACAGCCCCGACCTTGATCAAGAGACTCTGTATGGTCTGCAGGCACACTTACAAGTATACATTCGAAGAAGAAAGGACTTCTTATGACTCATCCCTGCTGCCACACTCTCACATTCTCTCTATCTTTCGAGCCATCGCCCTGATCAGCTCCAGCCTTTTTCACCCTTTTTGTCGCATTGTCCACAGCCGGTTACAACGCCGGCAGATCTTATTTGGGCCCAATGTTAGCGGCATTGGTACCGCCTTTCAGTGAGCCTATTCTGCATCTCGTTTCCCTAGAAGAGGCCTGATACCTCCTACCCTGCGAGTTTCCCCAGCCTGTTCCTCTATCCTACCTTGGGCCCAACTCTACTGCCTCTACTTTTTATCGATCATCACCCACACGACTGTCTGCCCCACAGGCCTGGTTGTCCCGTTTGTCCCGTTTGTACTAACTCTACTAGGCCAAACTTACATATGTATATATATATATGCGTGTGTGTGTGCGTGTGTATGTACAAATATATGCGACGATTGATGTCATTGAAAATGCCCAAGCCCACTTCATTTCCCTTCCCACGGATTCCACTCTACTCACTCCCAATTGATGCCCTACTCCTATTGAGTTCGTCTTTTATTGCCGCATTTACTACCTGCCATCGTGCGTCCGAACGTCCGTCTGTGCGTCCGCTCGGTCATAATGCATCTTCAGCCTCGTAATGCATCGTTAACCCGCATCTCCGATTGGCATTATCCCCAACTTTTGAAGATGCCCCAATTCTCGGGCGGCCTCGTCTGACACTTATGCGAGGTTACTGATACGCTATGCCATTGAAAGCCTCGAATGGGCCGTTGCTCGGGCTCCTTTTCATTAGTCCCATCTTGTTAGGTCGTCAGCTCCGGCCGTGTGAGTCGTCTTGACTGCAAGAATGAGTCCCAGCTCTGAGTGTGTTGGTCACGTGACGACGGGAAGCTCGGACAGTTTTCGTCCGAGACGAGGGTGGATGATTTGTGGATTGCATCAACCTGAAAGTCGTATTGAAGCCAAACGGCTGTGATGGAACGAGAATCGGTGGTCTTCGTCTTCTGGTGAAATCGGTCGACGAGTCTCTTCATACCAAATCGAAGTCTCCATAGCATGCTGGCCACCTCTTCCCACTGCCTTTTGTCTGTCTCCTGGCTTGCCGTCGTTTCGAGTGTACTCTCAGGCTTAGACGTTTGGCCTTCAGTGTTTTGCGACTCTCCCGGCACAAGCGGTACTCGAGTCCTCTGTGCGCCTGAGTCGCCATGTCACGTGCATTTTAGCCTGCTAGTCTATCATTTTACCACACATGTTCTCTACTTGCATTCTCCCATGCGACACATGACAGATCCTCACCTGATTCCCATTCATTCA